GGTTTTACCCACTGTTGTGTTGGTTTTACCCACTGTTGTGTTGGTTTTACCCACTGTTGTGTTGGTTTTACCCACTGTTGTGTTGGTTTTACCCACTGTTGTTTTGGTTTTACCCACTGTTGTGCTGGTTTTAGCCACTGTTGCTGGTTTTACCCACTGTTGTGTTGGTTTTGCCCAGTGCTTTGTTGGTTTTAGCCACTGTTGTGTTGGTTTTGCCTATTTTGTGTTGGTTTTAGCCATTGTTGTTGGTTTTTGACATTGTTGTGTTGGTTTTACCCATTGTTGTGTTGATTGTTGTGTTGGTTTTACCCACTGTTGTGTTGGTTTTACCCACTGTTGTGTTGGTTTTTGACATTGTTGTGTTGGTTTTTGACATTGTTGTGTTGGTTTTAGCCATTGTTGTGTTGGTTTTATCTTATTTTTCAGTTGTTTCGTGCTTCTGTTGTACTATATTTGGCTTCTGCTAATAATTTATTAATTTTAACAGTTCAGCTTCTTAGTTTTAAGTTTTATCAGACTTTATTTTTCAGAAAAGGCTAATCCTTCTGGTTACTTAATGTTTCTTGTGTTTGGTTGTGAGACGAATCATCCTCAGTTGCAAAAACAGTCGTACTTTTGTTTTAAAACCAGATGGCAGTGGACCAGGCGCAGATGCAGAACTTCAGCTCCATGTTTCTGCCAGCTGTTGAGTCAGTCAACCCGTGTCTGATCCTCATCGTTCGGAGGGAAAACATAGTGGGAGACACCATGGAGGTCCTCAGGAAATCAAAGAATGTCGACTACAAGAAACCCCTCAAGGTGCACGCCGTTAAAACCAACAGAATCATAAAAAACACACAACTCACCGGCTTCTGTTTAAACTGAACATGACTGATTTACAACTTGCAGGTGATCTTTGTGGGAGAAGACGCCGTTGATGCAGGAGGCGTGAGAAAAGAGTTCTTCCTCCTGATCATGAAGGAGCTGCTTGATCCCAAATATGGGATGTTTCGTTACTACGAGGAGTCCAGGCTCATCTGGTTTTCACACAAGGTACCCCCCCCCCCCCCACACACACACACATCAACAAGGACTCTTTAAAACTCTGTATACTCACTGATGGTTTGCTGCAGACGTTCGAGGACTTCGACTTGTTTAACCTGATCGGGGTCATCTGTGGACTGGCCATCTACAACCTTACTATCGTGGAGCTCAACTTCCCCCTGGCCCTCTACAAGAAGCTCCTGAAGATGAAACCAACGCTGGATGACCTGAAGGAGCTGATGCCAGACGTGGGCAGGTCAGGACACTTCTTTAGGCTGGTCTTAAATCTTCTTCTCCTGATAACTGGTGAAATGTTCTGTTTGTAAACCAGGAGTCTGCAGGAGTTACTGGACTACCCAGAAGATGACATCGAGGAAACGTTCTGCTTGAATTTTACTGTAGGGTAAAGTTTTCTGTATTGTTAAACGTATTAACCTGYCTGCATGTTAGCATAATAAAAAGGGAGGTTGGGTTATTTTCGTCAGATCACGGAGGACCACTACGGTGCCACAGAGGTCCTGGAGCTGGTACCGAACGGCAACAACATCGACGTCAATAAATCCAACAGGTAAAAACTTGTCTTGTCAGCTTGTAGCTGGTTTTATTTTGTTGCTTCAGCTTGTCGTATCGTTTCACGTCGTTTCTTCAGGCAGGAGTTCGTCAGCGCCTACGTCAACTATGTCTTTAACTCGTCTGTGGCTCTGCTGTTCGAGGGCTTCTACTCAGGCTTCCACAAAGTGTGTGGAGGGAAGGTTTTAGATCTGTTCCAGCCGAGCGAGCTACAGGCCATGATCATCGGCAACACCAACTACGACTGGACAGAGCTTGAAAAGGTATGCTTTATAGTTTTATATATACATATGTAGCGTTAACCGTTGAGCTAATACTGTTAGCTCTCTAGCTAATGCCATATATCTACATATTACCAATATTATGTGGTATTGGCTCTCGAGCTAAYGATATTAACTTGGAAACCAATCTTTGTGTGTCTTACTGATATATGTGACATTAGCTCCCAAACTAGCTCTGGAGCTAAYGCCAYATAYRTATTACTAATATGTATGTGGCGTTAGCTCTGAGCTACACCACATAGATATTACTAATAGCATTAGCTCTCATGCTATCAGCATGGAAACCAATCTTTGTATCTATTACTAATATACACTCACCGGCCACTTTATTAGGTACACCTGTCCAACTGCTCGTTAACACTTAATTTCTAATCAGCCAATCACATGGCGGCAACTCAGGCCTGTTAC